AACTATGAGGTACTTGCTTACTGGATAGCCAGCCCCAAGCATTAAGCATGGCCACCTGCCTTGGATCAAGTGTTGGGGAGTTCAACCATCCTTAGCTATTAACAGTGCTGCTCACCAGTACATCTAGTAGAAACCTACTGGAAGCATAACTCAATGGGAATTCACACTGTTCTCAGTCTCCCTGTAGGTGTGAAGAGGCAGGCCAGAGCTCCCTAAAGTGGTGTATGGGAACTGACCCTGAAGAGCACCCTGTAATCTGCCTGCATCGCAACCCAAGGCCTGAAGCCTGTGAGGAAGGGGCTGGATGAGGAGGAATGCCCTACCTGTCTCCAAGAGGAGCTGCTTCAGCTTGCTGAGGTCTGAGTAGGTACATTTGGTTTCTTCCAGCTGGTTTACCTGCTCCTTCAGGGCAGTGTAGAGGTTGGACAGCTGCCCCATCTGGCGCAGGGCCTCCATGGTTTCGCTGTAGCGGCTGGCAGTACTGCTAGATGCAGAGGACTCACGTGGGAAAGAAGCAGTGGCTCCGAGCTTGTCCTTCTGCTCAGGGGATGTTGCCAAGGGGGTCTGGGTGACATAAGGCCCAGATGGAACTACGAGCTGGGTGGCAGAGGAGGATGCTGCTACAGGTGCCATAGGCTGTAATGCTGAGGTGCCCAATAGAGATGCTAGGGAGCCTGCCTGGGGCCCTGGCATGCTGGGCTGGGCTACAGGAGGCCCAGCCTGGGTTCCTGGGATGGCCAACGGAGTTGAAGGAGCACCAGTCCAGTCTCTTGGAGGTCCTGCTGGGGCAGCTGTCTGAGGCACAGACATGTCCACTGGGGTCCCTGAAGCACTGGGCCAGGCTCCAGGAGATGTCACATGAGTCTCTGGTGCACCAGCCAAGGCTCTGGGAGGTGTCACCTGGGTCTCTGGCACACCTGCCCAGACTCCAGAAGGCATCACTTGGGTCCCTGGAGCACCAGTCCAAGCTCCAGAAAGTGTCACTTGGGTCCCTGGTGTGCCAGCCCAGGCTCCAGGAGGTGCCACTTGGGTCCCTGGCACACTAGGCCCAGCTTCAAGAGGTGTCACCTGGGTTCCTGATGCACTGGTCCAGACTCCGGAAGGCATCACCTGGGTCTCTGGTCCACCAGCCCAGGCTCCAGTAGGTGTCACCTGGGTCCCTGGTGCGCTGGCCCAGGCTCCAGTAGGTGTCACCTGGGTCCCTGGTGCGCTGGCCCAGGCTCCAGTAGGTGTCACCTGGGTCCCTGGTGCGCTGGGCTCGGCTTCAGGAGGTGTCACCTGGGTCCCTGGCATGCTGGGCCCAACTCTGGAAGGCATCACCTGGGTCCCCGGTGTGCTGGGAGCTCCTGCTTGAGCAGCCATCTGAGTCACGAGTACACCTGTTGGAAGTCCTGGAGCCCAGTGCCTGGCTCCGGGAGTCCCTGCCTGACCATCCACCTGAATCGGCAGAGCAACAGCCCCAGCCTGGATCCCGGGAGTGACTATCAGAGTGGCTGGTGAGCCACGCCAAGTACCTGGCTGTCCCACCTCAGTCCCTGGAGCCCCCATTGGTGTCCCTGGGGCACTGGGCCAGGCACTGGGAGACACTTCATCAACATCCATCCCAGGAGCACCTTCCTGGGTCCCCACAACCCCAGGTGACACTCCAGCGGGCCCAGCCTGAGTCCCTGGGGAACTAGGCCCAGCACCAGGGGAACGTAGCTGGATTCCTTGACCACCCGCCTGAGCCTCTGAAGCCCTGGGCTGAGCCCCTGAGATCTCTGCAGGTGCGGTGGGGGTGCTTGCCCTGGTGTCAGGGGTCCCTGGCGGTGCAGATGGGGTGCTGGCTCGTGTCCCAGAGCTCCCTGCTGGCATGGAGGGGGTGCTTGCCCTGGTTTCGGAGGTCCCTCCCGGCACAGAGGGAGGTCTTCCCCGCGATCCAGCCGTCTTGGTCTGAACTGATGGGGTGCTCTCTTGGATCCCAGGAGAACCAGTCTGCATCCTGGAAGTACCCCCTGCAGTTCCAAGAGAGTCCACCTGGCTCCCTGAAGCCCCCACCCCAGTGGCGGAGGCTTTCCTGGCATGGGTGTCAGTGGCTAAACCTGGGTGCCTGGTCAGAGAAGTCTGGCCTATGATGGTCTCCACAGACTGGGATGCCTGGAAACAGAGCAAACAGGAAAACAATTTACAGGGGGGGGCACTGCCACAGAGCAAGCAGCACGGGTGGGGGCAGGGGCATTCTAGACCGAGCCCATCCATGCTTCCCCTTCGAGAGAATGTGCTATTCTTTTGTTATTAGAGAGAGAAACAGCAGCTGTAGAAGTCTATGGCCATTTCTCAGCTCTGTACCCAGAAGGGATGGGCTCTCTCGGAGGCTGGCTCACAGTGGGGTGAGAGGAAGAAGGTCTCTCACACTTCCAGAAGGGCAGGGACACAGGTATCTGTGCACACATTAGGTGGGGAGCAGTAGAACGGAGAGGAGCTTCAAAACCCCTCTAGGGAATGGTGGCCTCCAGATCCCAGCACATACAGAGGGGGTGGGGAGAGAAGCTCAACCATGTCCCCCTCAAAGGGGCTGAGGGCCTTCTGGATCCCAGTACGCAGAGGTGGGACTGATCAACAGGCTCCCATCCCTGAACTCAGTGTTCTGCCCTTCCTCTCTCATCCTCCTCAATCTCTATCCCTTCCCCTTGGCTTGGTTCACTCAACCCTTCCATTCATTCTCCCTTCTCCATAAGCCTCCATCTCCTTACCACCACACAAAACCTCTACCCCTTTAGTCTTACCCCCTTCCATCCCCCCCACCCTCCACCCCCTTTCTGGCAGATATCAACATACAAAATAGCTCAGCTACATCTCCCTCACATAAAACCCAACCTAACGGAGGCAGATGGCAGCTATTTGTGCCTGTAGAGAGCAAGAACTGGTCTATGTTGCGGGGCTGCTGCCACCACAGCTTTGTTGGAAGAGCTATGGTGGTAGAGCTCCCTGGAGGGGGTTCCCTGTGATGGCAGAAGGGTTTTCTTCTGCTGGCTTCACTACACCACCTCCTGGAACGACAGAAGCTCTGATAGCCGAATCCTCCTTCCATGGGCACAGCTGTGTCCAGACAGGGAGTGCTGGCTAACCGTCAGCAAGACTCTCATGTAGACTAAGCCTAAAGCCCAAAACTGACATTGCCTGGGCATATTTCAAGTTTGATGGCCACAGCATGTATCCTGAAGTCACCTAGGTCATGTGAAAATGGACTGGCTCCAAACTCTCCCACCTACTTGCAGGCATTACCAACATTTGAGTGGAACCTGGGAATTGGGCATGCAGAGTGCTAAACTCATCTGCATACTACTTTCCATTTTACCTCCCCAAAGGGGCAATGGATACCACGTGCTAGAAGGAATAAAGATTGAGTGACTGGGACCATGTTAGATGTGACTAGAGTCAGGGTTTGATCCCCAGGTCTTGGCAGAAAAAGTGGGGAGGGCAAAACATTGTTTGAGTGTCAAACTCAAGCACTGGGCCTATATTTGTATCGCTATCTTGAACCAGCACTTTCAGGAGACACATACCTTTTGATACCTGTAAATCTGAAGGCCTTTGAAGAGATAGCTATTATACAAAAACGGGTTTTCAATCTTAACAAGAGCACAGCTGATCTCTGTGGGTGCACCTGTGTGTTCAATAATACACTGTAGTTACTGTGCATTAAGTTTAGTCCTCGGATGACCAAATACTAAATCAATGCACAGTAACTGGTGCTGGCTTTTTAGTAATGCTAACTGTACAGTAGCCTAACAATACTGCACAATAGCCTATGAGCATGGGTTTTGCCCTGTAAAATGAGGTTACTGTGCTGTTACCGTCTTGTGTAGACGCACCCTGTATCTCTAAGATACAGGTTCATTTCATAAAGTGTCTGACATAAAAAACAGCAGCAGCAGTAAGACTAATCGGGAGTGTTTCACTGCAGGTTAGCCATGGAACAGAAGCTCCCAACTGATCAATTAACTTGTTGCCTAAAAGGTTTCATGGTTTGTTTGATTTTTTGTTTAGCTTTTTTTGGCTCCTGTTGGCTCTTAGAACCAGAGCGCTCTGAAGCAAGTCCTGAAATGAACTGCCATGGCTACTGGACTCCTTTGGGGCAATCTGTCTTCTCAGCTCTTCCCTCCTGAGGCCCATCGCAGGATCTCAGTAGGTAATCTGGGTGATCGTGAAGTATCTGGCTGAATACCAACCAGCATAGAAGATCCATAATTGCTTCCTCGGCTTGATAGACCATATCAGTGTTCCAGGATCTGCAGTTCCACATGTTTTTCACCTATTTTATGGACCTGCTAAAATGCTGATAATTATGTCTGATCCCCCTACCTGAATCTGCCTAAAACAGTCAATCCTTCCACAGTTGCTCTACAATATACCCATGCATTCAAATGCTGGCTTGTGGGCATACAACCTTGTTCGACTAGCTACACGGAGCACTAATGACACGGTGACTCCTACAAGATGGTTAATTAATAACGTTGGCACTTGCATGGTGCTGTAGAAGGTTATGTGGTAACTTAACCGCTTATGGGGCTTCCCTGACAACTCCTGTGTGGCCCTAGGGATGCATACAGCTGTGACATACATAGATCCATGCACAGCCTATAACAAACAAAAGCTTTGTTAGCTTTGAGGTCACTCAAGTACAAATCCCAGTCTGATCACTGAGGACCATTCATGGCATCGGAGCTACACATTCCTGAAAGCCAGTTTTCAACAACAAACATAGGTCAAATCCTTCAGCACCAAACCTCCAGGGGACAGGGAAAGGCCTGGATTTATACATTCCCCTCCCTCCCCTTCTATTAAAGTTGTTGTCTCTGCAGAAGTAGGGAAACAGGCCAAATATAGAGTCTCACCCCACCAGCTGCTTCTGAATGAAACACTCACAGAAGGTGGGGTCTTGCCTTTGTTTGTCACGAGGCAGTCTTCCAGAATTTCCCATCGCACCAGATTACTCAGTTCTTCTGGACTTGGATAGAGGCTCAATCTTTGCTCTAGACTTTTCTAGAGAAAAACAACCAAAACCAACACATGAACATAAGGATGGTTCTATGTCCTGTATTACTGATGTTCTCAGAAAGGGACTTTGTTGTTTTCTCCACTGACTCCTGGAGACTAGTAAATTAGGAATCACCCTAGATGATAGGTAGACAGGGAACACGGGTTCCATAAAATGAACTTCAGACTTATTCTGGGACTGATCAATAAAGATGCAGTGAAAACACAGAGCCAGACAAAGGCAAAAGAAAAGGAACAGCAACCTTGATTCCACAATGGAGGAGATCTTCCTGAGCTGTCTACCCCATCACTCCTTTTCGTAGGAGCAGGGACATTTCCTATCTTTGAACAATCTCATGGTGGCAGGGGGGAAACCAAGAGAGGCATATGGATCAACCTGGAGTTGTTCCTACTCTATCATTAGGAAGCAGGACGATATAGAAACCTAGCCAAATCTTGACTCCTACTACAAGTGGTTTGAGGTTCACAGATCATCTTAAAACCTGACCCTAAGGCAGGCTGGGCATCAAAGTTATTAAGCACCAGAGATGCCAACTACCTTTCAGGATGTGAGCCTTCATGATTCTTATTTTGACCTTGAGTCAGAAGACCCAGAGAAAATAAGATGCTTCTCCTTCCCTGTTATGCAGGGAAGGATTAACTGGGAAAAAAAGTCAAGGAAAGAGCTAGGGAAAGACCTGGCAACTAAAAAATAAGGTTTTTTGCCCAGGAACATACCAAATCAGTATTCAGATACTTCTGATCCATGAAACAGAGCTGCAGTTGACTGTCAACTTCCTGGGGATTTAGCTGTAAAAGGAGGCAAGAAAGGGAATTTAGTCAGCCTTCTGCAACTGGGTGTATGTGTATGAGAGGGAGGGGGAGAGGAAGAGGGAATGCTTTCAAAGGGGCATGGCCAATTTAGAGAGAAAAATTCATCTGTATTGTGCATATACACACCCGCATACACAATATACATACTGGCATATATTCTTCCCTCCTTTGCACCAGCATCTTCAGCTTCCAA